GGGGTAAGCAAAATGAGGGAACTATGACAATGATGCCGAGGTTTATTCGTTTGAAGTAATGATAGTCACAGCCGCGAGGGGGAAAACACATGTGTGTAAGGCGGTTGATTTAAAAGTCAGGAAAGAAGGAATGTTGGAGCTCGTAAACAGGATTTATATTGGCTCGTTGCCATCGTCGAGGGTTAGAATGTGCGAATCGTCTGCAGTTCGACTCTGGAAACAAAAGAAACAATAAATTTCGCTGATAGATGAACTTAATTGTATATATTAGCTTTCCTTTCTTCCTAGTTTATTTAGCAAAATTCAAAAAAAAAATTTAAAAGGTAGAACTACCTGACTTCATTATCTGCTCTCATTTGATTTCTCATCCGATCCACATCTTAGTAAACTCACGTTCTCTTCTCTGCGTTCAAAGTAAAAGAGTTGACAATTTCCATTGTCTAACGACATTATTCATGAAGCAATAGTCAAACTAGGTGGAGATTAACATTTTACATTCAAATAAATATGATCAGATAATAAGGAATTTACCTGAGCAAGCAATGAAAACATTCTACCTAGTGTAAAATAATTAAATGAAAAAAGATTTGTTGTGAGGGGGGTAGGGTTGATCTCACGTTGTATTTAAAAACACCTCAGCTGGGGGGGGGGAGCTGTATTAGTTGACGTAGTTAAAGAATTAGAAGTGATTTGGTGGCAAATTGATCTCGAAAATGCTGAATGCGTCCTACTGGTAAATGGAATCTATACAGTATTAAGCAACTAGCTAATGGCATACACTAAAGTGAAGCAAATTTCGAAATTGCTTAAAAACTTTTCTCAAGTTACCTAAAGTCGAAATTCAAATGACAGATGAAAACCAAAATGCATGAAACAGGGTTCACGAATCTTATAAATACCAGACACTTAAATAGCCACAGATGTCTCGAATGCCGAACTTAGCTAACGCCTCTAATTCAATAAAGCCAGCAAAAACAAAATTGAATAGGAAGACGACAGAGCAGAAGTCAACCATATCTTCCGCAGATCATTCCATGCTTTGCGGGGTGGGGGTGGGGGAGGGAATAGATAAGCAGAAGTGGTAGGTAGGAAGGTTGAAATACCAATCAGGATAACATCGGCTCGTAATGAATCGATAATCAACACATAAACACAGAAACACCAGGAGAGGGTAGTGATCATTGTCGGAAGTTGGCCACTTCCTTTCTATTAAATGCACTTTAATTCCTCTTAATCCCCATTTCATACTCTTGGAGATCATCATCATGGTGCTGATATACTACAATTTCAACACCTCCACGTTTTATTGCCCCCTTTGAATGATCCTTACTTTCCACGACGTTTTAAAAGCACACAGAGGTCAAACAGGGCAATGAGGTACCTTCAAATTTATTTATTTCAAATGGCAGGCGTTTAGATAGTTATCATTAGCCATTTAGCTGACTTCGGACTTCACAGGGTGCACCACGTGGAGGTAAGTCTATCGCACATCCCAGGTACCTTCATATAAATTTCAGGCAATCGAAGGTCGATGAAGACTAATTTTAGCGCCTAAATAAGGTTGAAAGTCTAGGTTGATGTGCCTAGTTCTGCATTGTTTACAGAAGTTGAAGGAAAAGAGGCTTTAATCGCGAAAATTAACTCAGCTGTCATGATCTGAGGATAATTGTGCGTACTTTCGGAGTCCTGAATGATTAAAAACACGGCAAGTTTTTTTTGTTGATGAAGCCAATGAAATCTTTTGGTAAAATTAGCAAGTGGCAGATGAATTAACAGGAAAAACCGACGGATAGAGATATGTTTACCTCTCACTAAATTTAAAGAATGAAATTGCTAGTTGGTAGACTTAATACTATACTGAGTAGTTATAACGGATCTAAAAATATATGAGACATAAAAGCCATTTTCTATAGCCCAACAATCTTTTTCGGAAGTATTAATTCTTCAATATGCTGAAGCTACTGGTATATCGTTTTTTTGTCATTGACATTGCATGGTTCATGATTGTGTATTTGACAACTACATTTATAAGTCAATGGTGACGGGTTTGAACCCAACTCCTCGGTGTATAATGCCAAGGGATATATAATCACATCTCTCAACAACGAAGATTTAAATCTAAGAGGACGAGGAAAATATTGTATTTAAAACACATAAATATCCAATTAGCTACAATTGTTGAATTTCGTTTCTTCTCTACTATTTTTCACCGTTCATTTTATTAATACACTGTATTTCGCATTAACAGGGCCAAAACCATTTCATAGGGCAATTGTTTTCCATTATTTATCTGAAACAGTGTTTCTCCTCCTGAAATAATTTTCCTTGCAAAAAAATAAACACTGAATGCAATAATGTGCTGTTTAAACTGAGTCCTTTTGCCTAACTCAATTAGATGGCAATATGAAGATTTCCTTATATTTTTTGCCCAATATTTATTCCAATTTTCGGTCTTTGTACCTTAAAGTGGCCGTATTCTGGAAATATTAAGACTAATATTTTTTCGAAAAAGTTTGTTTGAAAGGCTCATTTTAAGTTTTCAAGATTTTATTGAGAGGAAGTTCGGGAAGTAGAGTACTTTCTTGGTCAGTTGTCAAGAGTCTTTTTTTGCGAATTTTGACCGAAATGCTAATGACATTCTTCATTAAGTACAACTTTCAGGACTTAAATAATGGTAAATGATTATCATTAAAGGATTTTAATTAATCTAATCAATTGTTTTCAATTCTAAGACCAAGCATTTGACCATATCAAGAGAAGAAACAATTTTTGAAGAGCTTAAGTAAACGAAGACCAATGTAAATCTATTAAGTTCTACTTACTCTGAATATAACAGGTCCGAATCCAGTTCCATTATCACCACTGGTAGACGGATTGAGTGTATTCCATTTTTTGTCACTTTGTCCCCCCGCAATAGCACTGACGAATTGATTTGGATAGAGTTCTGTCTCCTTCTCGTCCTCTGGTATGCCACATTCTGTGCCCTGCTGATTAGCATCCGATCCGGAACTGCCGAATGAGCTCTTGGCTCTTGCTTCCGCGCCTTCCACAAGTTTCATATATTTGTATTCCAATCTGAAATGGAAAATATCCGGATGCTACATATTTGGCGCGAGAGAATTACGCCTATACTTATAACATTATTAAGGAAAAAATTTGAAATGAAACGCGTTTAATAATTTTACCATATAGGGATAAATTAGATATCAGATCTACTTCTCCGGGCTGGAAAAAAATGGGCCATACTTAAGTTTTGAAATATCCACTTTAATATGATCTGAGTCGGTGAAAAGATGGTAAGGAAATAAAAATGTGGTTTATGTTGGAGAAATATAAGCCCACAATAGGAAAATTTAGAATAACTAGGCCAGTTGTGATGAATTAAGGGGAATTTAAAAGCCCTGAATGGAAATATCCAACAAGGTGGACAAAAAGATGACCAAAAATGTGCACTGTAGCCAACAAGCTACAACTTTTCAGAAAAGAGGCATAGACGACAGTTAAAAAAATCAATTATTATTATTATTATCACAGATATTTTGCACCTTGTCACGAGAAATATAGTAGAATGTAATTAAAAATCATTTATTACTTTGACAGTATGTTCGCACTTAGAAAAATAGTGTACTACCCCGTCAAAGCAAATTGAAAATGAATCTCCCGATTTTTTGTAAATCATTTAGGGTTTTGTGTTTTCCTCCTGGACTAAATATAAAACGCGTGTACCAAGTGTCAGTTCGTCTTAAAATGCAGACGACAACAATGGTCTAAAATTACTATTAAAAATTTTTTAGCCCTCACCAACTTTGCTGTTGAAAACGGAAAGCAAACATTACTTTGTTACCACCGAATTAGCAGTATGTTATCGATTAACTGGAAGCCAATAGCGTTTTGCATTTAATTGGTTCTAATTTTTAAATAAGTTTTTACTATTAAATATGTGCAAAGCTTATTACATTAACGTTTAAATAAGAACAAGGTGAATTAAATTTAAAATCGGAATGGCAGCCCTCTTTCGTAAATTAGAAACAAAGAAGGTTACCCCTAAAGAAACATTTCCTTTGCGTTCAAAATTAAAAAGATTTCAGAAATAAGGGTATAATTAAGAGCCATATAATAAAATCGATATTTATTGATTGAAATATCCGGAGCAAGGACACTGGCAGTATTTTTAAGGAAAGTGTGTAATGATGGGACCAACCATATTGAACCCAACGCATTGAAAATTTTAAAAATCACTACAATAAATCTCAGAATATAAATCCAAACTTAGGTAACAACTATCTTAATAAAAACAAAGGATTGTGGTAGGTCATTTTTTTTAAATCGCCGCGCAAAATACCAACTAATATATACAAAAAGGAGCACAAATTGTTACACGTTTTGAAAAACGGAATTTATGTCCTTCCGAATGAATGGGGAATTATTTAAAATAAATATGAGGTGAAGTTCTCCCTTTTATGGGAAAAAATATATTAAAATCCGTAAATAAATAGTTAATTTCCTGTTTACTTTAAATCATCGAAGTCGTTAACATTGTTTTGCAATTGTTTAGGAATTGCTTGAGGCAACACTCCTGAAATATTTTGTGCCAATAATTCTTATTCGCCTCTTAAGGACAATAATTTCCCAAGCACCGACCTTATCAATAACCGAATTAGTTTTTCCAGTAGATCAAATTAAGTTGAGAATAAATATCCACAAAACTCGACTTAACATGCAATAGGATTTCCTATAAAATTTCCTTAATTATTTCGGAGAAAGTAGCATTAAATAAATAGATTATACACCTAAAGAGGTTTTGGACCATGAAGTCCACTGTTGTGCTCAAAATTTTAATGCGCTTTTATTTATTTATTTATTCCCCCCCCCCTGACAGGGTTAAAATTTATGCAAAATATCATCAAGAGAAAACGTCTGATCACCTGAAAGTGAGAGTAGTTACACTAAAAAGTGAGTACAACCTCATAAAGGAGTTCAAAGTTAACCGGATCGATGCTTGACCTGGGCTCAGGAACAATCAGTTTGACTAGTTCTTCCAAGTTTGAGTACCTTTAGAACTATTCCTTAAAGTGACTTGCTTGGACTTCAGACAAAATAGTTGTGAAGTTAATTTCATAGCCTATCTTCTAAAGGACAAAGAGGTCGACCTATTGGCAGATCATCCATTTGCAAAGGGCTAATGATAACTACCAAAACGCCTGCCATTTGAAATGAACGATGAATGTTTTAAAAAATATGCACATTGACGTGCTTAGAATGATTTGCGTACCAGAGAGAAAACTTTAAATCAATACTCCAATAAACCAACTTATTCCTGAACATAAATTCGATAACTCGTCTCAAATTGAGACCTCTTGCTCATCTTGAGTCTGGAACATATAAAATTACCCTGGAGATGTGACCAATTCAAACATCAGAAATGAATTAATTGGTTAAAAGCTGATCTATAAAAAACTCATGCAATTTTATTAAATTAGCTCACTTTTATCTGTAAACAAACTAACTGTTTTCTTTATTTTGCCAGAACTAGCGATTTCCGAAGTGAAAGAAGACCATCTAGACCATCAAATCCTATTTTTTCTACATTTTTTCTTCAAAAAGGACAAAGGTTGAGATTAATTCGCATTGAGGAATGTCAACCAATGTGGAAGAAAATGGAAAAATTGTGAACCAAAGTGACAAGATTGACCCATCTTGACAAAAAAGTAGCCAATACACACTCGACGTCGTAGACAGGCAGTTGATGCTTCACATTGCATAAAATATTAAGTTTAAATTTTTAAATGTGAATTGACGATTTCGCAAATATTATTTTAAGCAAATCCCAAAAAAACAAATTAAGGCTCATTGAAACCTGAATGTTGGTCTCAGCAAAATTTTTTGATTGGCCGCTATTACTATTAGCAAGATTTTCTGTCAATAGATCTCTGCTTCTACCTACAATTAGAGATTGATAAATCTAGTCCTGCTCTAAGCCATAGGACGGTATGCGGAATAGTTATTATTATTAAATGTGAAAAAAATACGCCAATTCGATTTAGTAACTGGGATAGATTGATTTGAATTTGATGTCACGAACCATCAAACGCTTTACTTATAGTTGGATAAATTTTGTAAATTGGCTCCCACTAATTAAATTTATGAATTTATGATAAAACTGGGGTGTGCGATAGACTTACCTCCACTTGGTGCACCCTGGGCAACGTATACTCATACGGCAAAATAATAAAATAAAATTTACGATAAAACTTACTTTTTATTTCTCTGGTAGCAGTAGAAAATGGTGAGAAGAAGAAGTGCCACAAGCGCCATTGTCAAACCCACTGCGATTTTTCCTTGAGTACTCAACAACGGACAGGATTGCTCAAAAACGGTGGAGAAATTAGATGGCGGATGGCAGTACCTTCGCAAAATATAAAAAATGAAAAAAATAAAATAAAAGTTGCCTTTAACAAGGCGGAGAATACATTTTGAGAGATTGTCAAGTTCATTTTTATAATCAGAGAAGCAAAATGCGGGTGAAGAAATCGTATTTTGTCCGACCATTCTCATTCACCGATTTTAAATATAAAGATGCCAACTATTCTTCGGATTTCTAAGAATGATGATATTGTAATTTTGAATTTTTTCATCTGTTCATTGTTTTTTTACCGATAAGTATCGTTTTGACTAACTCGTAAAATCTAATTGGAGAAGTGTTCACAAAAATTTAGATTTAACCGGTGCATTTAGTCCCCAATTTTCGCAATCGTGTACACCAGTTAGGTACTTATATTCCGACCCGGTGTGTGCGATAGACTTATCTCCACGTGGAACACCATTGGCAACGTATACTCATACGGCAAAAAAGTCTATCAACCGACAGTTGACTTCTGACTTCAAACAACCATGACCCGACTGTATGTTATATTCGACCCTTTCACAGCACCCATCTTACCTTTTCTCTGCCCTTGTGTCTGTTTGTCTCTTTTACATCTGTGAATCACTCTACTGTTCCCCCTCTCCACTTTTTCTTACTTTAATGTACCTCCCTTCTGTGAAGCCCGAAATCAGCTAAAGCGCTAATGAAAAGTATTATAAAGTCCGCCATTTGAAGTAAATAAATATTTGCGACCCTGTAGGTGGACTTATTTATTTGGCTTAAATATACTGACTCATTTAGACCCACCTTCCTGATCGTGTTTATTTACTAAATTCAATCCCAACTTGAAAATGAATACCTTGGTGAATTCATGAAACCCATAAATCAATTCTTTTCTCGCAAATTGGGCCATTCTGTCAATTCAATTCTCAGATGCTTCCCCTTGATAGCAACTTGTAACATTTTAGCCATGCCAAGGTCATCAGCAAAAAAGGAACCGCACAAGAAGTCACAACTACTGCAGTTAAGTTTGCGTGTTGTATAGAATTCGTTAAATTCGAAATGTAGGACACGTGAAAAATTACTCACTTCGGAGGCAAGAGTGTAATTTCCATAGTGCCGCCAAAGCAGCCTCCTTCAATCCGCTTATAATCCTCCATTTTGCAGGCGGGACACGCAAGTGGCGATACGACCATAAAATGGAAGACACATCCATCACAAGTTCCCACTGCACATTTTGGGGGAATTTGAATTTGAGCCAGATCGGTCGACCTGTTATTCATGTTAGTTACATCCACAATTTCACCACATCTCAGCGTTACAATTGTGCTTAATCCCTCCTTGCAGGCAATTGTTGTTCTGTCAAAATGGAAATGACAATTAGAACATCAATATGTTGTGTGTGTGTCGATATTAGTTGGATATACGCATGCATGCACGATTTGGTACTACTAACACTGCTAGAACAAGGAGTCAAGCAATATGTCTGCAACCGATAACATTTAACAGAAGGAAAACATTCAAGAAGGCGTTTCATAAATTCGCATTATAAAACCCTCAAAAAAAATGACGAATAACATCCATACACATGCTAATTTTGCGTGCAACAGCCAAGAACAATTTCTTTGAGGAGCGCTCTATTGTCGGTGTCTCACTCATCTCAGCTACGCCGTCGCCCTATATTAACTAATGGCATGTTTCCATGGCAAAACTGACAACCCTGGGAACCATATTGATTAAATATGTTTGAAGATATTGGCTAATATAGGTTCATGCACAAGCTGATTCAAGCAAAACAGCCAATAAACGACGCGAATGGGAATCAAAACTCACCTCTGGCGTCTAAAACTGCGAAATTTTAAACGGAGTACGTAATTGCGATTAAATTAACGAAGAAAACTTTTAACATTAGGTTTTGTGAAACCGCAAAGGTATGCGAAAACACACTCCCATTGTTGATAGCTATTTGAGATTAGGTTGATGCACAATTGAATTAAAGAAATAGTAAAAATTCCAGTAACGTAATGATCGAGAAGAGGGGAGTGTGATAGACTTACCTCCACGTAGAGCACTCTGGGCAACGTATACTCATAAGTGCCAAAATGTCTATAAACTCCCTGGGCAACGTATTCTCATACGGCAAAAGTCTATTAACTGGCAGTTGACTTCTCACTTCAAACTGCCATCACCCATCTGACTTCAAACTGCCATGACCCCACTGTATGTCATATTCCACTACCTCCACAGTGCTCATCCCACCTTTTTCCACCTTATCTACCTTCGTCTTTGATACAACCCTTTTGAATTTTTGATGTTCCTTCCCCTCTGTGAAGACTGAAGTCAACTAAAGAGCTAATGATAGCAATCAAAACGTCTGCCATTTGATATAATAATAATGATCGAGAAGAAATTAAAACTTCGCTGCTCCTCCGTACGTAATTTTATTGGCAGAGATGACAAAAAAAGCTGCATTTCTTTCATGAACACACACAAAATCAGTTTCCATCATCGCGCTCTTAACAGATAAAATATCCAATCAAATTTGTGAAAGTTGAAGATATCATCAAATGAATGACGCGACATCACTTATCTGTCCATCATTAGTGTTTTGAAGCACATTTCCGAATGAACCTTAACTTTAACTGAACTTCACTTAAGCACAACTGCCAACCGTACACTAGCGTGTCATTAGTATTGTAAAATTCTATTCAACATTTCTAAGATACAGCCTTCGTATTTTATATGAAGGACCTTTGTTTGAAAACCAAATTCGTCCAAAATTTTGCCACTTTATAGTTGCTCTCATGCTGGAAGAGACGCAACTTGCCTTACTGCAACGCCTTAATGACTCTTCCGTCGTTGGTTGCAACGCTTCTGTTTTTTTGAACAATTTAAGCGCTAAGTTAGTCTAATTACTCCCTTCAAAGTGACTAGGCGTTAATAAAGTAAGGTTAGGTGAATATATATTTTTTTCGAAATTTGAAAACAAGATTCTAATAACGGTTGCAAATCAGTTAAATATCTTGCAAGATAATATATATATTCACTAATCTTTTAGCTTAAGATATCGAACCGATTAAATAATATTGGGGAATAATAAAGTTAATAAAACAAATTATGAACACTTTGGACTCAGAAAATCCTTTGAAGTTTCATTGATATGCTGTTATTTTCCACTAAAACCGAAATTGGGAGATTAGGCCAAGATTGCCGGAAATAGAGAGAGAGAAAGCACTGTCAATCTATGTGATAATAAAATCGTAAATCACAAAGGAAATTGGAATAATAAAAACTCACTCTCTCTCACACACACACAAACTTTCGTGACCAATTCCATTTTTCAACTCTTTACATTAGTTTTCAATCTGGTGATGAACTTTCTTCACTAGCACCGGTATGAACGTTTGAGATTATGCTTAGCAAAAAGAATGACATGCTCGATTATTTCAGTACTATAATTGTTACCCATCATATTTACAACAATATCTCGAATTAGTAACCTTTCTTAGGTACTTCGGAAACCCCATTCGTCTTCCTTTTTGGTTTAATTAGAAAATGCCTTTTCTTAAAAAGGGATCAATATCCTAATACTTATGGTAAGTTAATTTCTAAATTAAATTTAAATGATCTAAAATCTTTTAAATCCTGTTAAGATGCTCGAAATAAATACCAAATGAAGGATGAACAATAAAAACCATTAATTGATTCTTGGCTTCAATAAAATTAATTCGATCACTTGCGTCATTTACGATCCTAATTATTTGCCCAGACAGGTTGATAGAATTAGGTTATCATTGATTCACGATTTGATCTAGTCTCAGTCCATTATTTAATTAACGTTGCTGTTTATACATAATAAGAAGGCAGGATTAATTTAATTGAATATTTAGAAAATTTTTAAGACCAAAGGAATTTTTAATATTAATTATTGAAAAAATATGTTTCCGATAAATTTCTGACAAGCACTATTTGCCTTCATATTTTTTTTAAATTGATTATCAAAATTCCGATACTTACGTTTTGGTATGGAAAAATAGATGATAGTCAGTTCCACTGTCTAAAATTAAAAAAATACCATAAAAATATTTGAAATTAATGCACAAATAAAGTAAACTGAATTCTGGATAGAGCAATTATTATTTGCTTGGTTTAAATTAAGAATAACGCGAAATTTGCAACCACCACACTTTTGTTAAATACGAAACTTAGCGGAACTGCTTTAATATTTTACATTTCAGGAATTTGGCTAACTTACTTGTAGGGTAGTAAATGTGTTGGGACATAAAAAATTGAATATCAGCTAACCAACTAACAAAAGGAAGCTAGAAATCTATCGGAGTTTTACCATCCTTTCAAGCAAGGTTGTTTTGTCTGCTGCAAATGTCATTTTGTTTAAAGTCGTATGTTCACTATAAAAATGCGGTGAACTTAGTGTTATGTTCAAAAAAATTTGTCAAAAAAAATTTAAAAGCCTTTTTTTAAAAAAATGTTGCAAATGAACATTTTCCATTCTAAATTGGTTAGCTTCCATATTTTAAAGTTACTATCGTTCATGGTGTTTGAATGTTTTACGATTTTTAAGTTTAAACAAAGAAAATCAATTCGGAGAATTTCAATAAAACTGGTAAAAGAAATCCATTGTTGCTAAAAATTTACTTAAAATTAGTATTCACCCCTTACATACTTCCCGATTAGATTCCCGAAAAATTTAAAAACATGGGCGTACTTTGAGTTAGTGGCTTAGATTCTATAATTAACTGAATTATGATGTAAAGCATGCTCTTATCATTTGATTTTACCAATTATCTCTCCAAAAATATTTCCACCCTGGAACCCTTCAAATCGTCAATATATTATGAAAATTTTGGTTGCAAAGATAAAGATTTAACACGACTAGCCAGTAAAGTATATTGATCTGTCAAGAACCATGAATTTACCGGGTAACGTTTAATTTATTAACTCCAATCCATGAAACTAATCTTCGTGAAAATTGAAATGTTCGCCTCAAATAGTAGTATGGGCAAATCGATGAATCGTAACTTGAGCAAATTTATGAACATATATGCTGTGCCCTCAGCAGATGCGCCTTCCTGACCTCCTCGCTTGGTTTCATAATTTCGAAGGCGATTGCTGTTCTTCTTTGTTGAAGGCTTTCCATAATTAAAGAATGCAGACAGTTTTAGCCCCATCAAAGGTGATATAAAATTTCAAACCCGTTATCTTAAGTGCAACGCTAATTTTCTGCCCAATAATCAGTTCCAAAATAACTGTTTTGGAAATCGTAAATTGAAGAATCGCTAATAAAGTTCACCTCGATTAAAAGGGTGCCGACAGTTTTGAATTTCAATGTAAGTTACATGTTATTTTTGTGTTCCTTTCGTGTCAAAATAAAATAAATATACGCGGATTAGATGAAAACGCGCTTTTTCAAACTGGAGATTGAACTGCTGCAAGCAATAAAAGTTGAAATTATTGTCAGTTATAAGGTAATCAAAATTTACAACAATCAAATTCAATCAAAAATGTACTTTACCAAATTCATTATTTTGAGGAGGAAAAAGTTTCAAGTTGTCAATCAGGCTACATGGGAAGGGAAGCTAGTTGTCAAGTAAATGGGTCAACAAAATGAGAATTTAAAGTAAAAGGACAAAAATGATCAAAATTTCGAAAATAACAATTGTTTTTAATGAAAAAAAGGATTAAACAGCAGGAAATTTAAATTGACCAAAACATATAAAACTAAAATACTGCTCACAAATAATAAAAGGTTAAAGGCGTATATTTTTTAATCATAGTTATCTAATCTAGAAATCGAACAATTAATGAACTTCAAAAACGCTTCCTCCAGATACTTGCCCGGGCGAATATGCATTAAAGGAAAATAGGCAATTAGGAACAATCTATGCCACAAGATATGACAATAACGCTGACAAATGCCCGAACGCATATTGGAAATCGATAACGCAAAGGAAAAACTTCATCACGGCTTTAGTAACCCATGAAACACATTCCAATCAAAGGAACTAACAAATTTTTTTTTTGAAAATCAATGCACGAAAAATTGGATTTGAAAATAAATAAATAATTTAGAGCAAATATTTGAGCAGGATATAAACTAACTGTCAGGTTTCCAGCCAGCATTGACAAGTCTTGAATTGATTTCTGCCCTAAATTCAGCAGAGATGTTCGTAGGCACTGCTTTTTGCAATTTGCTGCCAATACTACAAAATTACATTGGGCGTTGTTAATTAAAGTTGGAAGGTTTTTTTCCATTTAAAAAAATATAAAATCTTATTTGCATGTTTGGGTATTTGTAAATGCATGTGATATTAATAAAAAAATTGTGCTAAATTGAATTTCTTTTTAAGTAACTTATTGTCAAACAAAATTAAAACAGCTTCAACGAACTCAAAGGGTAGTTAATTATTACCGTAA